ACAGGAGCAAATCCTTGTCCTTATCATCAATATTCACTTTAATATTTTCAAGATCATCGATAATCTTGTGAAATTCTATAAGCTGCTCAACTATGGATTTGTTATCCACCATTCAGAATGAATAGAGTTGTTATTTCATATACAACCTATGAGCCAAAGACTTTGTCATATACAATGATTCAAGTTTTGCCCACATAGCAACCACAGTTTGCTCCCTGACGACTTTTCTTAGAACTTTATCCCCTAGGCACAAGATAATGGCACTCCTGGCCTTATCCACCATCTTGGTCTTCTGTACCTATGTAAGCCCTGTAGGCATCGATGGTTCACCCCTCAAAGCATCGATACACTTTTCTTGAATTAAAATTGCTTGCATCTTAATTTTCCACAACCCAAAGTCGTTGTTATTGGAAAATTTCTCGATCTGTCATCTACTAACCATAGTGCTCACTTGTTAACAATATCTCTTTGCTCCACGATCACGACACCACTTGTTGTGCATCTTGTTGTGAATTACGATAAAATTCAATATCAATTTATGAGGCAAAGAACAATAGCAACCAAAATAAATGGTCTTCAGCAATAAAAATCCGTACACAGATAATATAACAAAATAAGACAAGAAAAAACTGAAGGTTTGTTTACCCAGTTCGATCAAACAATCTACTTGGGGGAGATAGCAGCTCTCCAATTCATTATACTCAGGAAGTTGTTACAAGAGATTACATATGAGTTACAAGAAAATAGCCTTCGCCTTCAGGTTCCCAAGAACAATCCTATTTTCTACCCAAGTGTTTCTCTACCTCTCCAACTCTCAATATATGAACCACTCAAACCGAAGGTGTAATCCAATGTTTTCTTCGTGCATAACTGAAACCCTATGCTATACCTTTAAACCCTTGGTCTCCCTTGTTGGTGAAAACTCTAAAATAGTCACACACCAAACATATAAGAGATACATATTCATAGTAGCAAATATCCAATAAACAAAGCCCAAAATCACATGGATCCATGGACTGAATCGAAAAAAAAACCCAAAAACTCAAAAATACTATTCACCATACGGATAACACTATTCACCATACGGATAGAACTATTCATCGGCCGATTTTTTTCTTTACTTTTTATCCGATTTTTACGGTAAATACAATCTCCAAAATATTTTTTCTTTCTCTTCATCAAAAAAGATTTTAAGGCACATTACAACAGAGGGAATATATCAGTTAAAAAATTTAGAAAAATATAACAACCCCATATAACGCCATATTCTAGCAATTCATTTAAATTAACTATCATATTAGTTTTAAGAAGAAACCAAGATAATAGATTAATTAATAATTAAAAATAAAATAAATAATAATAAAAAGGGTATTTGAAAATATTGATGCAAAACATATTACCCCTCGGTTGGCCAATATAATTGATGGTAATGGGAAAGGGAAAGGCTCTATGTGACCCTAAACCAATTCAAAATAAAACATAAAACATAAAATGCAGTAATTGGGAACCGAAGTGAACTCCCTCATAGTTATATTCTCTTGGTTTAGGAAATAATTAAGGGTATAGGTTTTATACATTTTTAAAAATGATGGCATTGTAGAGACATATACCTCAATTATTGGTGGTTCGAGGTGAAAGTTTTATCATAAAAAATATTATTTGTGGTAGTGTTATGACCCCCAAAACAGTCATCCATTTCACCTCAAAGTTATAAATATTTCTCCTTTATCTAAACTAATTTTTCATATACTACGTCTTACTTTTACTTAGATATAAGCAATATGTTTATAAGGCTCTTCTACAAAGTCTCCAACCTCTTAATTTAATCCTAGTTTGACTAATAAATTATGTAGGAATATATCATCTTCAACACCATACATCTCGATGCTATTTTTGGGTTGTGTTACGCGAGTACATCCAAAACTAAAGTAAAAATGTAAAGGCTTATGGTTGAACCTTGATACAATCTTAGTTTAATGGAGAAATCGTTTGTCTCTTCATCTTGTGTTTGCACATTAGTTGATACCATATGCATATTTTGGATTTCTAGAATATAAGAAATCATAACTCCTTTGTTCTATAGGGTTTTCCGAAAACATCTCAATGAACTATATTATAATCCTTCTCCAAGTCAAAGGAAATTAAGTACAAGTCTTGTTGGTCCATCCGATATTGTTTCATCAATGTCGTAGTAGATAAATCACTCTCATAGTAATTATATTTCATCATGCTTCTTTAATGTCGAGTTTGTTAAGGTATGATATATGAAATGCCATATCTTTCATTAAATAAATGTTAGGGGAAGATTTTCTCGACTAGGGAGCATTGAACATTGTGAGATTTCTTTTTAGAGTAACACCTTTGTGAGAGACACACCACATATTCACCAAAAATCTTAAGGTGATAGGTGTATGAGTTCTCTCACTTATAAATGCTTAAGTCACCACATTCATATCGAATGTGAGACTATTATCCACACTACTCACACTTGTTAATACTTAACACTCTCTCTCAAGTGTGAGTCTATCCACAATGCTCCCCCTTAAGCGGAAGCTTCAACTGTGCAACTGCACCCTTATACCATCGTTGACACTCTTCAACGAGACACTCAACCCACAACCTGTGGGGATACTTTCGATACAAGTAAGTCGGTCCTTTTACTCGAACCAGGCTCTGATACCACTGTTAGGAGAAGATTTTCACTAGAGAGTATTAAACATTGTGGTACTTTTCTTTCTAGAGCAACACCTTTGTGAGAGACACACCACATACTCACCCAAAATCTTAAGGTTATAGGTGTATGGATTCTCTCACTTATAGATGCTCAAGTTACCATATTCCTATTCAATGGGGGACTATTATCCACACTACTCACACTTGTTAATACTTAACAATAAATTATAGAAATATGTCTTTCACCTATATGTTATGCCATTTTTATGAGCCAAAAAATTTTCTTATTCATCTTTAATACACAAGGTCGACCATGGGCAGGGCATGTAGGCCCACAACCCAAGACCTTTAAAAACAAGGGCATCAAAATTATTTTTCTATAAATTATAGAGCCGAAATAAATATATAAATATTACTTGATCAACTTAACATGCGATATAAGTTAGTTAGTGTAGCGATAAAGAAACTCATTTTTTACTTAAAGGTCTGTTGTTTAATCCGTGGTATCTACACTTTTACTATTTAAATGTATTTTTACGACGACAAAACAGTGTCAAAATGTGATATTATTTCGCTACTATCCTTTTTATTGGTGGCCAATTTTTAAAATTGGAATCAGGTCTCCAAAGGGGACGACCCTGTTAATACACTAACTTGATCCAAATATCTAGTCTTTTTCTATCTTTCTTTAGCAAGCGCATATGTAAATTTTTCTTCATACTTGATTCTTAAAGATTGATATGATCTGTCAAAAGCTTATGCATGTCCTTTACTCACCATCTTATTGGTCTCTTTCTTAACTTTCTTATACTTTTTCCAAGTTTTACCATTCTTGCACATGAATTATTATTGAAAATGTTCATTTTTTTACTCTAACTTTACTTTGAACACTTTCATTCCACCACCACCACCGCGATTCTTCCCTATATTAAAAACCTATTTATTCTTCCAAAATCTCTTTAAATATTTTTTTAATCTCATATGCATCTTGTTCCACATATCCCTTTAATTTTCTCCTGGCTATCTAAATCTTCCCTTCAAGATTTTATGTTGGTAGCCTCTTGTTTTTATCTTTCAAATGCCACCACTTAATTTATGGAGCTCCTATTTGACTTTTTCTCTTCGCTTCTCTATTGACTCTACATCCATAACCAAATACTTATGTTAAATAGACAAATTCTCTTAATTTATAGTTTTACCGTCAAAGTAAATCTTCCTACACATCTTCTAAATAAAAAAACTTATCTAAAATCTAATAATATCTATACCAAACTACCATCATTAATTTAATAGATTTATTATTATTATAAATTTAAAATATAATATGTTGACTTGAGAATAAACATAAATAATACGTATAGTTAAAAAATTCAATACTAACTCAGTTCCTAAATATATGACCTTGAACAATAAATCACGAAAATTAAAATAAATTATTTGAAGCATTAAATATTGACTATTTATATAGTTTTGCAATTGTATTCTTAGGCTAGTAAATAAGTTATTATTTATTTATAAATAATTATAGATTGCATAAAGATGTAATATAATGTTTGTAAAAAAAATTAATAAACCTTAAAGTGGGAGAAAAATCTTATAAACAGTGATCAGAAAAACTAAAGATATTCATATTATTAAAGTCAGAGTTAGGATTTATTTTTTTATATAAAATATGTTCATTTTAAATTCGTTAAATAATCGACCATTTCAAATATAAAAGTATAAAATATTTTTTTACAATAATAAGACAGCATATTATATTACAATTTAATAGAATAGTTTATTTTAGATTAATTTTCTCTTACAAATAAATGAGGAGTAAATAGTCAAATTATATTTCAAATTATAAGAATTAATGTTTATTTATTTAAAAAAAAAAAAATTTAAATCATAAATTCATCTGAACTAATCCAATCCAACTAAATATTATTTTAAATATAGCAGTGTTTGATTGGCATAATTTAAAAATAACAATAATCGAATTGATAAATCTTTGTCTTATTATAATGACATGACATGAAAATCTCCAATAAGGTAGCCCCACAAACCCTTGCACGTTATCACCAATCCCAACCTTTAGATTCCTTCACACTCTTATAGCCCTCGATTTTCGTGTCTTCCTCTTTCAAAAAGTCTTCTCCCATTAAAAAGTGCTTTTCCACACCTCTTCTCGCTTCTACTCTCACCTCTCCTCCAATTCTCCACCAAAATTCTCAACCCTAATTTCTTTCCGCCAAAGCTTCTACGTCTCACCGTCATGACATCCAATCAAATCTCGCAGTAGAAAAAGAGCATAAGCATAAAAGAAAAAGCGATTAATCAAGCAAATGGCTTATCATCACGACCATCTTTCACACGAAATCAACTTTCAACCATTCACAGAAGATCAACAGTTAAATCAAAGCAGAGACATGCAAAGGCTACTACCGTTCACCGGCGCCGGAGCTGGATCAGCCCCGAACTGGCTCAACAACGCTGTAAACCTACGGCAACAGAATTTCCTCCACTTGCAACCAGACACATCGCAAAACGACGACGGAAGAGGAATTCACATGATGGAGAAAAGCAGAGATCGAAACCGAACGGAAAGCAGCAACATAGAATCAGAAGAGTTATCACAATACAAAGCAGATATTCTTGGACATCCTCTCTACGATCAGCTTCTATCTGCTCACGTCTCGTGTCTGCGAATCGCTACACCAGTCGATCAGCTTCCGCGGATCGACGCGCAGCTTCAGCAGACCCAGCGTGTGGTGGATAAGTACTCCTCACTTGCTAATGGTGTTGTAGATGAGAAAGAGCTTGATCAATTCATGGTTAGTTACAACAACAACTCAAACCTAATTTTGTTTATTAATTGGCGTCAATAATATAATATGTATCTTCTTATCCATGCAAATTTATTCTATTATTCTTAAGTATTCCACTGCCACTAAAATTTAATCTACTTTTTAATAATTGATTTGAATGATTTGATTTTTATGTCTGTGTTTGTTTATTTATTGTTGTTGCGCCTAACCTAATTAACCAACTGTGTGGAATAGCTGCAATCATATTAGGTTTATATATAATTAAGCTGCTTTCTGATTTGAATAACTTGTTATTATGCTTTGGTTATACTACAGTATATGTATTTAGTCTAGATTTGGGTGCTTTTGTTTTGTTTCTTTTGTTCTTTAATTGAAATATATATTTTACTCCTATTATGTGAAAATTGGATCTTCTTTCCTGCTTTTCCGGGGTTTGTTGTTGTTTAGACTTCAAAGAACAGTAAAGGGGCAGTATTAATTGATTAGGGTAGAATTACAGTTACATGATTGTAGTAGGTGCTTGTTGCAGAATTAATTATAAAGAAAAAGAAAAAGATGATGGTGGAAAAAGTAACATTCTTTTTATTTTATAGTTTCAAAAAATGTTGGACTGTTGTAAGTCTAGGTAGTGAATAAATGAATCTGATTTTTTTCTTACAAGGAAAAGAGAGTCATTAAATGAGTCTAACTTAGGATGCTGCAGCTGTGAGTTTGAGTTTTCCAATTTACTTTTTCTTCTAACATCTTAATTAAAGTTGTGGTAGTATTTCGAGTGATCAATTTTGTATTCTTTTTACCACACCTGTAACTTTTTGATTCAGAAAACTGTGTTTGTTGGTAAATTCTTTTCACTTTTGATTTCTTAATGGTAGTGTCTGCATTGATGGAAGCTAGATGGAAGCGTCATTGTCTAGCTTATTAATGGCTATGTTAACTTTTTTATAAACAAACACTTGATGAAACAAGAGTGCTGTGAGTAATTCTTTCATGTTGCAAGAAGTGGATGATTCAGTCATTGTCATTCACATTATCAAAATCCAACCAATCATATGATTCATATGTATTGGTACAACAACCAATTATATATTTTAATCCAACCCTTAATATATGTGAATATTTGCTCAATTCTTTTATGAATGTCTTAACTTTTTAACTCTTTTATGGTTTTAAATATAAAGCAAAAAGTCTATTAAATTTGGTCTTATTTGACCAGATACAACTTCTTTGTTTATATTTAAATTTAATTTAATACAATACATGACTAAAGAGATATAAAGAAAAGAATACATGTATAGTGATATACTTAAAATTTTGCTTATATAACCTTACTAGTCTATGCTAACTAGAGGAAATTCAAAACTAGAGTTAGTTTTGTAAGACTAATCTCCTCATGTAGACCCAATTCGATGGATGAGTTTATTTTTGAACAAATTAATGCATCTCAAATATTTTATGCTCCTTAACTTAAATGTTTGCTCTTATTATACTTGTTGTAGACGCATTATGTTCTCCTGCTTTGTGCTTTTAAAGAACAATTACAACAGCACGTCCGTGTCCATGCCATGGAAGCTGTTATGGCTTGTTGGGAATTGGAGCAGTCTCTACAAAGCTTGACTGGTAACTTAATTCAACTATCACTTAAATCTTTGTTTGAATCATATAATATCACATAAATTTTTTTTATATATATATATATATATATATATATATATATATATATATATATATATATATATATATATATATATATATCATTGAATAAATCGTGCAAATTTGAATTTATATTAGTTATTAATGAAAATGAATAGATTGAAGACAAATTATTAGGAATAAAAGTGATGAAGCCATATAAATGTTGCATGCATGAACAGGTGTATCTCCAGGTGAAGGAACCGGTGCAACAATGTCAGATGATGAAGACGATCAAGCAGAGAGCAATGCAAACTTATACGAAGGAAGCCTTGATGGCGGTGATAGTCTCAGCTTTGGTCCACTTGTTCCTACTGAAAGTGAAAGATCTTTAATGGAACGTGTGAGGCAGGAGTTAAAGCATGAGCTAAAACAGGTAACTATAACATGCAACCCTAGTAATTGTTTGTTACTTTGAATAAGATTGGGATGATTTTCCTAGTTAATTTATTTCTGTATTTGAATCAGGGTTACAAGAGTAAGATTGTGGATATAAGAGAAGAAATTCTACGCAAGAGAAGAGCGGGAAAGCTCCCTGGTGATACTACCTCCCTTTTGAAAGCTTGGTGGCAGTCCCACTCAAAATGGCCTTATCCTACTGTAAGTTTTAGTTGAATGTGTGAAATTAAAAATTACATGATATTATTTTAATGGGACATTCTAATATCAACCTTAGAAAAACCTAAATATAAACTCTTATTTTTGTTAGTAAAATAGTAAATTTTAAAATATAAAAAGAAAAATAGATGTAATGTTATATTAATTTTTTAAAGTTATTGATTTTTAGCTTAAATTTTGAAATAAAATTTAATTTTAGTTAATCGGTATAAACTTTAAAGATATACAAGTTATTAAAATTTTACCCCACCGTTCTTTAATCATATTGGTCTTAACAATAGAAGTAATCTTCAAAATATAAAAGATATCTTAAGATTAGTGTTGTTTATTTAATTTGAATCTAATGTTAATTATGTTATCTAAAAGTATACTCTTAAATTAATATAGTTTTCTTAACTTCTTTTAATATACATTTATAAATGATTATTAATAATTAATAAAAAACATTTTTGTTTAAAAATGAAGTAATATTTATTTTTTCATTGTATACTATTAACTAAGCAGTTAGGCTAACGTTGTTAAAAATATATGTTAAAAGGTGAATATTTTGACTTTGAATCCTAGTGTAAACAATATTTAGTTAAATTTTATTTATTTTTCATAATAAGTTCTGAAATACAAGATTTTTATTTTATTTTCTTATAATCGAAGAGTTGAGACAATGATACATTACAATTGTATTAATGTTTCTTGATTAATTTTTTTTAATCTCAACGAATATTAAAAATAAAAATAAATATAGAAGATTCATCTTGTCTTTAACCATATGTGAGATGAACAACAACATATATTCTTAAATTTTTAAAAATAAAATTGTAGATAAATAATACTCATAATAAACTTGACATTTTTAAACCATAAGATTATATAAACTATACAGAAAAAAGTACAAGATATAATTTATATAAAATCTGTATTGTGAATTACATTTCTCAATAAATACCTTAAAATTCAAATCTTTTAAAATAATTCATAATGTTTTTATTTCAACTCATTTTGGAATAACCCATTACAATATGAAAGTGATGGAATGATTAGACATGATTTATATCATCATAATTTTCTACTCTCGTGTTTTAAAATAATTATTGTTGTAGATTAAAGAATATAATAATATTATAATAAAATATTATATTTTTATTAAATTAATTTTATAAATATATTAAAAATAGTATATAGAATAATAATTAAATAATACTACAATTAAAAAAATAATAGTTATTTCTACTTTAAAAATTAACTATGACATTCATTTTAAAACAAATCTTATTGATTAGAAGGACATTAATTTTATAAGGATGGAATATCAAATATTCTTCTACTCTAATAGGAAAAACTAATATTTTCCTATTTGAATATGCAAAGTGACTGGAGACCTCTAGTCTGCTTTATATCAGAGCCTCTATTTTTTCTATTCAACTAATAATAACCAAGGAAACACATAATGTGTTAATGTTATGTCCCAATTAATGTACCTACTAACTAATTAAGAATTCAAATACCAAACCTTGATATTGCTGGGCAATTGTCTCTTCCATGAATGCTAATCACATTGGACTCATGAATGTACTTTCAGGAAGAAGACAAAGCAAGGTTGGTCCAGGAAACAGGACTTCAATTAAAGCAAATAAACAACTGGTTCATTAATCAAAGAAAAAGGAATTGGCACACTAATCCCTCATCTTCCACTGGCTCCAAAACCAAGCGCAAGAGGTCACTTTTATTTCCCTAATCTTCCTTGTTTCAAATATTCTTTTTTAATCACTTCAGAATTCGATGATGAGTCTGATTTTTCATACATTTGGATAGCAGTGGCGCAGGTGAAACAAGTAACCAGAGCTTCATGTGAGTCGACATCATGTTTTGACGAAGGAAAAAAGATGGGAAAGAAAAAACTATTAATGTTCTTCATTTTATGCAACTATATATGTTGGGACGCTTCATGTATAGGACAAGAGCTTATAGTGAAAAATTATGCGATGTGATGGAATATGATTGTCAAATCCAAATTTGTTTATAACATTGCTGAGAAATATTACATTACTTGGTAATTCTGTTTTTGAAAATTATTTTAGAAATAAATAATAGTTTCACTTTGTCGAAAAATACATTGAAAAAAAAAACTAGTATGATTTTTATAAAAAAAAAAAACATTTTTGAGAGAGAAATGCTTAAAATGATATTATGTTTAATTATATTTTTTATTACTTGCAATTTTGATTTACTATTTAGTTTATCAATTTTAGTTTCTACTTTTTAAATACCTGATTTAATCTCTTAAACTGTCATCTAAATTTTACGATCATAATGAGATTTTTATTTAATATAACTATATATTATATAATAATTACTAAACAAATTAAGTTTTTAAATAATTTACAAAAATAACCATATTTCAACGTTCATTCGCCATATCGGCGAATTAGGCCAAAACAAAAAATGAAAAGAAGCATTTCGCCATAGCAATTGGCGAATTAGGTCAAAGGGAAAGGATTTCGCCAGATCAATTGGCGAATTAGGCCAATGAAAAATGTTAGGGTTTTCACGTGTTCATATTCGGATTATTTTGATTTAATTATATACTTTATGATTTATAACTATATACTTTATTCTTAATTAATGATTTAATTATTTTGATTATGATTTAATAAATTAAAATGAATTTTTTTTATAGTTGTTATAAATATTTTAATAAATTGTTTGTGTACATATTTGATTATTTGTATTATTTGTTTTTGCTGTATTTTGATGAATTTAAGTAATTATAAAAAAGAAGGTTTAATATATTTAAGTAATATTTTTAAATAATATTTATGAAAGAATGTTTAATAAATGTAAGTAATATTTATTATTTTTAAATTATAAATTATTTAAAAATTCTAATTATAAATTAATTTAAATACAAAATAAAAATTGAATAACAAGTTAATTTTAAAGCATATAAATTGATTTAAATTATAAATTTTAAAACGTAAAAATTGATTAACCATTGAATTATAAGGTGTATAAATGTTGTAAGGTTATTTAGGTCATATTATATATGGTACATACCATTTTTTTTTACTATAAATACGATCGCAAACACATGTATGTTTTCACAACATTACATCCCAAAAGACTAAAGTGTTAGTGCAGTTTGAGTTGAGTGGAGTTTAGAATGTCTGCATTTCTAAATCAACGTTGTTCGTCGTCGTCGTCATCAGCATCGGAGGAACCTTTTCCAAAGTTCGATCTAATGAAAAGAAATGCCCTAGTTGTGTTTTCAGCAACAAAGCCTCTGATGAAGGTGCTCCTGTGGAATACGCAGACGTTGGAGCACTTGCACAGGGAACTGAACCGCTGGCTAGAAGGGGATATTGGTCCAGGAGAAAAGATTAGGAAAATTGAGAGGTTGGTCGAGGAGACCGGGAGAAACAGAGTTACTCGCGAATGGAGAAAAGTGGAAAATGATGTTGGCGTCCTTGTGATGATGTTGACACTAAAGAAGATAAAGTTGATGGTCGTGATATCGTAGATGCCTTGGTGCAGTGTGTTGTTTTATGTCTTTACGCTGTTGTTATGTTTGTTTAATTTATGATGCCTGGGTGCAGTGCTCTGTCTTTATGTTGTTGTTATGTCAGTTAAGTATGCTTTTAATCGAATTAAATTTGCTATTAATCGAATGAAATTTGCTATTAATTGAATGAAAGTTGCTATTGAATTAAAGGGACAAGATTAAATATGAAACTATGATCTGCTGCTTGATCCTACGTTAGGACATTTTGTTCGATTGTGTCCTGGTTGCCGACACGAACTACACAATCTCACCAGCTTGTCTGCGGTATCCATCTCAGTTCGAATGCGCGTGCTGTTAGGCCGACCCTTCTTCTGTCTGCGCATCAAGTCATTATGCCAAACAATTTCACCTTCGTATTCAGGCCAATAGTCCTCCTTTGCCACGACTTGAAAGCTGCATGTGTAGACATTGCATAGACTAATGACTTGGTGAACTGCAGAAAGAAGGTTGGTTGGGTCCTGGCGCAACTTGGAACATGCTGCTATGACATGAGAGCACAGCATACGAAATGCTTGAAACTTTCCACAATCACACCAGCTCTTATCCAATTCAACACGGTAACATCCTCTAGGCCTCCCTTCGTTGTGATCCATAGACTCGGTAACACTGAACCAACCAGCTGTACGGTTAAATATTGTGACCACGTGTGTGTTGGCTTTGACAGCTTTGTCTTTCATGAATTTCATTGAAGTATCGCTGTACAGATGACCTGATTGTAATACCGAACCCCACTTCGTACGTCTGCTATCAAAGAGTGATCCTAGCCTAAAATAGGTTGCCTTTACCAAGGCAGTTATTGGGAGGTTTCGGATTCCCTTGAAAACAGAATTCATTGACTCGACGAGGTTGGTTGTCATGTGGCCCCATTGCACCCCATTGTCGTATGCCCGCGTCCATTTCTCCCTATCAATGCTATCAATCCATCTTAATGCGTCCGCATTGTTCAGTCTGATCTCGTCCCGGTAGTATCTGAATGTGGGTTCAGTTAGTGCATATCCCGCGTTCACAACCTTCTTTCGCAGCGTCCTGTCCTTGATTTCCCGCATGAAATTTTGGGCAATATGCCTTAGGCAATAGACGTGGGTCGAGGGAGGATCCTGCCAACCGTTGTCATGGTTGTTGTATGCACTCTTGATGGATGGGTGTCGATCGGAGATCAAACATAAGTTAGGTTGTGGAGACACGTAAGAGCGGAGGTTTTTTAAGAAAAAACTCCAACCCCCAGCAGTCTCCCCTTCTACTATGGCGAAGGCTATTGGGAAAATATTGTTGTTCCCGTCCTGTGCCACAACCATGAGAAGTGTGCTCTTATATTTCCCGTATAACCATGTTCCGTCAATTTGAATTATAGGTTTACAAAATACAAACCCTTTGATGCATGGTTCGAACGCCCAAAAGACTCTGTGGAAAATTCCATTTCCACCAACACAAGTCCCGTCTGGTGTACAAACAGGCATCGTCTCCAATATCGCAACAGTTCCTGGAGAGTAGTGTTTAAGGGCCACCAAGAATTTAGGAAGTTCCTTGTACGACTCCTCCCAATTTCCAAACACCCTTTCAACCGCTTTAGTCCTGGCAATCCAGGCTTTTCGGTACGAAGGAGTGTAGTTGTACCTTTGTACCATATGTGCTATTATGGTACTCACCTTCAAAGATGGGCTGTCGCTAACAACTGACAGAATCTCATCGCAAATCAATTTAGAGCTGAGTTTGCGATGGTCTTGCATCGGATTCGAGATTATACAACTGTGGGACGGACCCATTGACCATATCTTCCAGGAATCGCTTCTCTTCCTGAAAGATGTTGTTAATCGGAATGGGCACTCCTCGTTGCGACAGTAGATCGTATACCGCGTCGGATTTGTCCGATCGACTCTGTAGTCGGCTGACAACTCCAGGTGAAACTGTTTGATAGCCCGGACACAATCTTCTTTCGTATGAAACTCGTCACCCTCTTTTAGTTGCCCCTCTGGTGTGTATTTGGGGTAGTAGAAAACATCGGTAGAGGGTTCATCATCACCTAAGGCGATAGTAGTCATGTGTTGAGGTGGACAATAGACATTGTCAGGTTGAACTTCGTCCTCCGGATTGTTCACCATCTCGTCAACAGTGACTTCAGTTGCTTCTTCTTCTTCGTCAACGACATTGACTTCAGGGTGTTCATCTTCCTCATCGCAAAAAACTTGAGACGAATCAAGTTGCTGAGACAATTGTTGTTGTTGTAACGTAACATATAACACGATATCTGAGAACCCAGAATACTCGTGACTGCGGAACATGTTACGCACGTCTTCATCGTCTCGCACCTTTAAAGGGCAAAATTTGCATGAATCAGGTCCGCCAAAAAATACTGGGTTTTTGTATATTATTTGCCCAACTGGACCACATTGTAGTTTTTTTTTCTATTCTTGACTTCAAGTGTAAAAAATTAGACCTTCTGTCAATTAAAAGTCTTGTAACATCCGTGTTTCTGAAATTGTATCCCGACACTTCACATTCGAAAACTTCACCGTTCAGATGAGCGGAAATCATATATTGTGGTGTTTGAGACATAGTGAAATTGTGGTGTTTGAGTGTTTGAGGGTCTGAGTGTCTGAGTGTTTGAGTGTTTGAGTGTTTGCGTGTTTGAGGGTCTGAGTGTTTAATGTGTTTGATTGTTTGAGTTTAAAGATTTTAAAGGCTTTATAAAGGGCTGAGTGTTTTCTTGTTTAAAGAGTTTAAATATTTTTTTTACATGTATCAGTAAATGAATGTGTAATTTTCACATGTGACCCTGCGAATCAATGACCATGCGTCAGGACTCTCTTTGCATGCACCAGGACACTTGTCACGCATGCTCCACAATCAATTACACGCATCAGGAATCTCTGCCATGCATCTGGAAGCAATGGCATGCATCAGGAATCAATGACATGCAACCTATTTGATTAGACGAAACAATGAAGGAATCTCCTTTTTCACATGTGATCCTGCATGCCTACATTGACCATGCAGGCCTACGAGACTCTTCTGCATGTATCAGGACTTGATAAGGCGGGACACTGCATCCAACATCAACATGCATCCAACATGCATTTACACATCACATGAATCATGACACTATTCCAACATGCATTTTCACATCACATTCAATGACATGCATCAAGACTTGAACAAGACACTTGATAAGCCGTGACACTGCAGAGTTCTGCTTTCACATGTGATACTGCATCAAGAATCTCTGCCTTTCACTTGTCACGCATGCTTCACATTCAATGACATGCATCAGGACTTGAACATGACACTTGATAAGA